GAGTTGGAAGCAACCTAAGTTCCCATCAACAAATGAAGGTGTGGTATACTCACACAATGGAATACTACGCTGCATTGAAAAACAAGAAACTCATGCAATATTCAAAATGGGTGACCCTGGAGGACATGATGTTGGGTGAAATATCTCAGTCACAAAGGGACAAATTCTATATGGTGCCACTGTCGTAGAATGAGGCTGACATCGGGGTGCAGATAAGACTGAGAAAAACTGGATAAATTATGTTTACTGCATTGAAGTCTATGAGGAAGAGAATAGTTTAAAAGTATTATATTTTAGTTAATTATGTTTATCATAAGAGTACGGAATAAGGGTTGCAAAGTGGATTATATTTGGGATGGGGGTGGAGGGAGGACTCACTCTATTTGGGGTGGGGACGGACGTGGGGGCAAATGTCATTTGTGGGTCTGAGGAAAGAGGCGGGAAATGAGTGCAGATTCCACTGGAGGGCAGACGAGGCTTGGGTCAGGGAGGATTCCAAAATTCACAACTTGGACAGTCTGAAGAGCATGACATTTGGGAGGGCCTGTAGGTTTGTACCACATTTTGGATCAGAAACAAGCACTCCACTCCACCCCCAGAGCTTCTAGAGAGTCTGAGGGAGTAGGGGAGTAGATTGATGAGCCCAGAGGAGCTGGGTTCCCTATTCTCAGTTCTTCCATCCCCTGAGTCACTGGTCAGGTGGGGTGAAGCCTCAGAGTCCTGTTGCTCCCAAGGTCGAGCTGCCCCCTGGCGGTCAGATTCCATCCTTTCTCCACAAGCCAGACAGCCAGGCGACTTGAGGGATTTGTCCTTTTATTTCTACTTCACAAACCCCTCCCAGGCCCTGGGGTTCCCCTTAGCGGCTTGTCTTGGTACCCTGCGAGGTAGAAAGAGACAGAGGTGGGTTAAATTATTTTTTTCTCTCTCTCTCTCTCTCTGAACAGGTTTTATTTTACATTAGGTGAAAGTTTACACAACAAACGGGTTTTCTATTCAACACCTCATAGACAAATTGTGCTGTGAGGTTAATTGCTGTCCTCTTCTTATGTCCACCTGACTTTCCTCTCTTCACAGAGCCCTAGTGGCGCAGTGGTTAAAGAATGCAGCTGCCAAACAGAAAGATCAGTAGTTCAAACCCATCTGCTGAGAGATTTATAGTCCCAAGCCCTCTTTGAAGTTTCTCTATTCTGCCCTTTCAGGTCACTAAAAGTTAGAATCGACTTGATGGCAGTGGGACTTTCTGGGTCCCCCTTTCCCTGCCTCTCCTTCGCTTTGGGGCAGATGCTGCCTGCTCGGTCTAGTTCAGCTGACAGTTCTAAGGAGTACATTCCTCATGGGTGTTACTGTTTATTTTACAAGTTAGTTTGTTATTTGGCTGAAGGGGAGATGTGGTAGATCTTATCACATCAGGAATTGAGGTGGGACAGGCTAGGCCAGGGGAGGGAACCGTGAGAAAGAGGAGGAGACTCACCTAGTCTCCAGGCCTGGGCAGCGGTCAGGTGGAGGTAGTTTGGAAGGGGTGGGGGGAACATTCGCTTTAGGAGTTTCTGCAGTGGAAAGAATTGAAGGGGAACAGATTTATTTCCTGGGGTCCCCTGTTCCCCTTCCCCCCTGCCCTCTTCACTTACTCTCTGTGCCCCTCCCTGGCCTGCACGCTGGTGTTGACCTCCCACGGGACTGAGGCCATGGTGGTACTGATTTTTGGCAGGGGGAAAGGAGTCCGACATCTGGGGAGTGCCTGGAGGGGGGAGATGGAGAGATGTGAGGTGAGCTGAAGCCATGGGCTGGTTGTTTCATTTCAGGGGCCCAGAGAAAGAAGGGACGTGGCCTTGACCTCTGCCCCTGCTGCTTTCTCCTTACCTCTGTCTTGAGTACAAAGAAGTTTTAAGTTAATTTTTGATCTGTCCTTTCATCCAGTCTGTCCATCCACCCATCCATTCATCATCTTTCTTCTACTTACCTGTTTGCCGATGATCTACCTACCCACCTACTCCTGTCCACCTTTCCCTCCATCCACCCACCCACTTATTATCCATCTACCCATCTATTCACCCACCACCTATGTACCCATCCATCCACATACTTTTCCATCCACCCACCCCTGCATCTATTCATCCATCCACACCACATTTTCTCAGCATTCACTGTTGTTGGTTGGCTCTGAAGACACAGCCATGAGCAAGACGACCGACAATCTCTGTCCTCCTGGAGCGGACACTGTACTCAGCTGGAGGCTCACAGGAGTCCCCACTGCACAGCAAGGACGTCTCTTCAGGAACGTGCATGTCTCCAGAGGACTGAAATCACGTGTGGGAAGAATGGAGGGGGAGAGAGACTCTTTCTGTGACGATGGTGCCAAAAGCGAAGAAGGAAGCCCCTGTCCCTCCCAAAACTCAAGCCAAAGCAAAGGCGTTAAAGGCCAAGAAGGCGGTACTGAAGGGCATCCACCAACACACACAACTAAGAAGATCCGCACGTCACCCACGTTCCGGCGGCCTAAGATGCTGAGACTCCGAAGGCAGCCCAAATACCCCCAGAAGAGCGCCCCCAGGAGAAACAAGCTTTACCACTGTGACGTCATCAAGTTTCCCCTGACCACTGAGTCAGCCATGAAGGAGATAGAAGATAACAACACACTTGTGTTCACTGTAGATGTCAAGGCCAACAAGCATCAAATCAAACACGCTATAAAGAAGCTCTGTGACATTGATGTGGCCAAGGTCAACACCTGGATTAGGCCTGATGGAGAGAAGAAGGCCTGTGTTCAACTCACTTGTGACTATGATGTTTTGGATGTTGCTAACAAAACTGGGATCATCCAAACTGAGTCCAGCTGGCTAATTCTAAATACAAATTTTTCTCACCATAAAAAACAGAGGTGCAGAGATGGGAATTAAGGCCTCTAAAAATGGGACAACTGAGCAGAAACCAGAACGTGAGGGTCACAGCAGGTCCAAGAGGTCAGCTAAGATATGCAGACCTTGCGGCCCCTGTTGAGGACTTTGCCTTTAATCGCTGGGAGCCTGTGAGGGCTTCTGGGGCATATGATCCAAGTCAAGTTATCCATGTCCAACTGCAGTGACTTCCCCAAACCTGTGGAGGGTGGGTCACTCTAGTCCCTATTCTCGATATGGGGACACAGAGTCCCACAGCGGCGAGTGAAGGCACTGAACTGAGACACTGCCCCACCACCAGGTCTTGTCGCCCCTTAAGGGTGGGTTTCTCAGACATAGCAGCGCTATGACCAGAACATCCCATTGAAGGAGTTCAAACTCATTGACTCCTCGCCAGCGATCTGGAACGGACTGACACTCCAGTGGGTTTCCCCGGCTGTAAATCACACAGGAGGAGACTGCATGTTCCGTCTCCCTCAGTGCTGTGGTGGAACTGAACCACCAAAGAAGCGAGACATCTGGGTGAGTGGCACAGCTCCCTCCAGACGACGCCACGTGACCACAGTGACCTGGCCACCGCAGTCCCCTGCACCACCCAGTCCCTACGGCAGCCCCACACGGCTGGGATTACCTTCACGTCCATTTTACAGACAAGGTGACTGAGGCCCACAGAAGAAATGGGAGTATCAACCTCGGGTCTGGAGCCAGGAGCCTGGGCTCCAACCCTGATTCCATCACCTATGAGCTGGGCAGCGGTCAGGTCTTTGCCCCTCAGCGTTTGCTCCTGGATAGTCCCAGGCAGAGCTGATTCACTGGGCTGTTGTGACGCACAGACAGACATGTTACAAAGCGGGGCCAGGCACAGACTGTGGACTCCACAGATCCAAACCTTCCACCATCGAGCTCTTCTGCATCACAGTGACCCTCCAGAGGGCTTTGGGGGTGTGAATCTTTACGGGAGGACCCTGCCCATCTTTCTCCTGCAGAGTGGCTGGTGGATTCAGACCACCAACTCTTCAGTTCTTAGCCCAAATACATCACCAGCTATGCCATGTGGATCCCATGCACACGGTAACAGTGTGCTGCCCCATCCCCATGCTGCCCCGTGGACTGGACTCTTGTGAGCCACAGCAGTATCGTGGGCTAATTTTTGTAAATAGATTCCCAAGACTTTCTTCCTGTTGTTGTTGTTGCTATGTGCCATCAAGTCGTTTGCGACTCATAGCGACCCTATATACAACAACCCTAAACTCTGCTCTGTCCTGTGCCAACTGCACTGTCTCCGACACTCCCATCCTGATTACTCCAGTCACTGAATCAATCCACCTCATAGAGGGTCTTCCCCTCCTGCGCTGTCCCGCCACCCTCCCAAGCATGATGTCCCTCTCCTTACAACATGTCCACAGTATGTTAGACGGAGCCTCAGAATCCTTGCCTCTAAGGAGCAGCCTGGTTTAACCCTCTCTAGGATGAATCTGTTTGTTTTCCTAGCAGTCCATGGTACCCTCAATACTCTTCTCCAGCACCAAAGCTCAAAGACATATGAAAACTTAAGTTCTTCCTGGTATCTCTTAATCCAGAAGTTTTGCTGTGATCGGCATCATAGACACACAAACGTGCGCGCGCGCACACACACACACACACGTGCGCGCGCGCACACACACACACACACACACACACGCGCGCGCGGCTGTGGATTAGCTGCACTAGCTGAGAGCGGAACCCATCTCCCTCTGTTTCTTCTCCCATTTGTCTCACTGGGAAGTAACTCAGGCCGACTGTTGGAGAGAAGAGAGCCAGGCCGGGTCAAGGACACAGCCCAGGTGCGACCCTGTGACCCGAGATGCCTTGGGCTGAGCTGGCTGTGCTCACCCCCTCCCCGTCCTCCGGGAGCCAGCTGAGTGCCTCTCTTAATGTTTCCATTTGCGTTTGGCTGGGGCTGCATCTGTTTTTAGCATCGCTGGCTTGTATCATCGCCACCCTCACCCCCCTTCCTGCTAGCTTTCTTATTTGCTGTGGTCCAATAATGTTCCCGGACTTCCTGAGCTGGGTGTTTGAAGACTGCGGGGTCAATATTGATTTCCTTCTACCCACAGACATCGGGCCCCACCCCCTTGGAGGACTGGGGTCTCGGAAAAATCCCAGGCGGTCTGGGGACAGCAGGGGGGGCGGGGAGCAAAATCAGGCAGGGACTTCAGTTTGCTCGGGCCACTTCCTGAAACAAAAGCAGGCAGTTTTAGGGGGCTTTGGAGCCTGTCTCTGTCCCTGTCCCTGTCTCTGTGTCTCTGTCCTTCTCTGTGTGTCTGTCTGTGTCTGTCTCTCTCTCTGTGGCTCTCTGTCTCTCTCCCTCTCTCTTTCTGTCTCTCTCCCCCCCTCCCAAGACGACCCTGGCTGGCATAGTGGTTAAATGCATAGCAACTGTTCAAACACATCAGCTCCTCAGTAAGAGACGGATGTGGCAGGCCAACTGACCCCACTGTAAATTCTAGGGGGCAGTAGTACAAGTTTGTCCTGTTAGGACCACTGGACCACTGAGTTAGCATCCAGGAGCAATGGGTTCAGTTTTTCAATTAGGCTCTGTCATAGTTTGAGCAAGTTCTGCCACACCCTGAATCGGGTCCCCTGAAATACATGAACACGATTCACAATACACGGTGACACTCAGCCTCACATACTTTGGCCTTGCTGTCAGAAGGGGGCAGCTCTGAAAAAAAGACATCCGGGCTGGGAAAGTGGAGGGTGAATGAGAGGAAGACCCTCAGTGAGATGGATTGATGCTTATGCGGCGGCTGCAGCCGCCGTGGGCTTAAGCACCCCAGCAACTGTGAAGGTGACTCAGGATCGACAGCGTTTCGCTCCACGGTACATACATAAGCTCGCTGTGAGTCGCAGCTGACTCAACTTGTCCGCTAACAGAGAGGATGATGTCATGAGGCAGTGTGGAGTGATCCGCCGAGATCTGATAAACGGAGCACTTGTGGAAGGATACTGGGTGAACAGCAACCTTCATCTGATGACAGGGAATTTCCTTGGGGTGTGGCCCCGAACACCTTTTGTCGGGCTGGAGATACGAGGAAAGAGGAACTGGACAGCTCAGGAGAAAGTCTTTTACTTGTACTTGCTGAAGAATGGAGACATGATGGATTCAGAGACAGTAATGTGGTCACTGTGACCAAGAAGGAGACAGACTAAAGATAGGACAGCTGTCATTTATAGCCAACCCAGACCTTTCCCAGTCATTTAATCACACCGAATCCAGGTTCTTCTACTGAAAGAGTTTTGAAGATGTAATTAAAGTCCCTAATCAGTTGATGTGGGACAGAGAGGCAACCTCAGCCCTCACTGGGGAAGACCCGGAGGGGAGGACTGCCTTTGGACCCAGGTTTCCGAGGTGGGAAGCCCCTTGATGTTGGGGAAGTGTATGACACATAGAAATCTCCAAGAACAGCAGGTCGCAGAAGCTGAAGGAAACAAGGACCTTCCTCCAGAACCGACCGAGAAAACCTTCCCCAAGAGCCAGCACGCCGGATTTTGACGTCTAGCTCCTTGAAGTGCAGCCAAGAGTGCTCCTTAGCGGCAATGGTTGGACAATGCTTTGTCCCACATACTTTGGGCTTGTTAGGAAACAAAGAAATGATGTCTTTGGAAAAGGACATCATGTTTGGAAAGGTGGAGGGTCATGCACACCCATGTTTATTGCAGCTTTGTTCGCAATAGCAAAGAATTGGGAACAACACAAGTGCCCATCAACAAACGAAGGCATAGAGAAGCTCTGGTATATTCACACAATGGAATACTATGCAGCATTGAAAAACAAGGAACTCATGAAATATTATGCAAATTGGGTGACCCTGGAGGACATTGTGCTGAGTGAAATATCTCAGTCACAAAAGGACAAATATTGCATAGGGCCACTGTTGTAAAATAGGACTGACATCGGGGTGGAGGGAAGACAGAGAAGAAGGGGAGGAATGGTGTATTCTTCATTGAAACAGATGAGGGAGAGAACTGTTTAAAAGGGACATATGAATGGGTATTCTTGTCATTACAGAAGTCCAGAATGAAGGCTGCACAGCAGAGTGGACTTGGGGGGAGGAATTGCATAACAATGAAAGTTTTTCTTTTACTTTTCAAGAACAAGAGTGAATTGGGGGGTAGGCAGGGAGAAAAGTGCAACAATGGATGATTAGAAACCCTAAGTCTCTGTAACTTCCATTAAAATGAATTAAGAAAGAATAGAAAAGAAAGGTGGAGGGTCAGAGAAAGAGAGGAAGACCCTCAATAAGGTGCATTGACACAGTGATTGAAGCAGTGCACTCAAGTATGTCAGATGATGAGGACGGCACAGGATAGGGTGGGATTCAGATCCATTGCTCAAAGGGATGCTAACAGTGGTTGTTGTTGTTATGTGGCGTCGAGTCGCCTGCGACTCATAGCGACCCTATGTACAACAGCCCTAAACTCCGCTCTTGTCCTGTGCCAATCGCACTGTCTCTGACACTCCCATCCCAATTATCCCAGTCACTGAATCAATCCACCTCATAGAGGGCCTTCCCCTCCTGCGCTGTCCCTCCACCCTCCCAAGCATGATGTCCTTCTCCAAGGACCGGTCTCGCCTCACATGTCCAAAAGTATGTTAGACGGAGCCTCAGAATCCTTGCCTCCAAGGAGCCACCCAGTTTAACCCTTTCCAGGACAAATCTGTTTGTTTTCCTCGCAGTCCATGGTATTCTCAATACTCTTCTCCAGCACCACAGCTCAAAGGCATCAATTCTGCTTCTATCCTCCTTGGTCATTGTCTAACTCTCTGATGCATAACAAGTGATTGCTAAGACCATGGCCTGTATCAGATGCACCTTAGTCTCCAGAGAGACACCATTGCTCTTCAGTACTTTGGAGAGGTCCCTAACAGCAGACTTTCCCATGGCAATATGCCTTTTAATTTCCTGGCTGCTGGTGCCAAGACTGTTGACTATGGAGCCAAGCAAACTAAAGCTGTGTAGCTGACTCAATTAATACCTAACAGCAACAAATAACGAAAAAATAAAGGTCTGTTCGTTAAAGCCACCCCCTTGTGGTATCTCTATTATAGCAGCACTAGAGAACATGGATGGCACAAGACCAGGGAGCATTTGGTTCTGTTGTGCATATGGTTATCGTGAATCAGAACCACATCAAAGGCCACAAACAACTGCGTGTCAGGCACTGTTCTTGACCCTAGAGGTATAATGGAGAAGTGCAGCCCGAATGCTTCCTGGAGGCAAGGCTGGGGAGGCTTCATCTCCCACATTGGGGCATATAATCAGGAGAGGCTGGTCCCTGGAGAAGGACATCATGCTGGGTAAATAGAGGGTCAATGAAAAAGAAGACCCTCAGTGAGGCAGATGGACACTGGCTGCAGCACAGGGCACAGCGCAGTGGTGGCCGTGGAGGGCCGGGCAGTTTCATGCTCTTATACTGGGGTTGCTATGAGTCAGAGCCATCTCAACAGTGCCCAACAACACTAAAATTCCTTGGAAGATAAACTTGGTGACTGCCTTCTGAAAGGTCACAGCCATGAAAGCCCAGGGGAGCAGGCCTCCTCTGCATTTATGGGGTCCATGGGAGTCAGAAATAACCACAAGAAGACCCAGGCCTAACCTTGGGAGTGGAAAGAGGTTACAATCTGCTGCTGATGATATTACTGCTGTCAAGGCAATTCTCACGCACAGCCACCCTGGAGGACGGAGCAGAATTTCCCTACATGGTTTCCAAAGCTGAAATCTTAATTTTAATTGCGATTTTTAATGTGAAAACAGACAGCCACATCTTTCTCTTTCAGAGTGGGTTCAAACTGCAGATTTTTCAGAGCACTTAACCACATAATCGTACACTCAGCCAAGAGGTGAGAGGGCTGCAAAAATACAGCAAAGAGAGAGGATAGAAGGGCAATGGTGATCAAGGAGGGCTTCCTGGAGGAGGGGGTAAAAAAGTGAACCTGGAGGAGGGGGTAAAAAGTGAACCCGTGGGAAGGGATGGAAGAGGGAATAGCCAGTGCAAAGGTCCTCAGGTATGTTGCACTGGGCTGAGATGGAAAGAGCAAGAAAGGCAGGGAGACCAGGGAGAAATGGAAAGAGAAGGTCACATGGAGGGTGTGTGGACTGCACACAGCCTTGTAAACAGGCGCGATGGGGGAGTGATCAGCCTGGCCCCTCAAGGCGTCCAGACAGGGGACCCCAGACACCTGCCAGCTCAGCAGCTGACTTACCACCTTCAGAGCTCCTCCTCTTCTGGGGGACAGATCCAGCCTAGGGGGCAGAGGGGGTGCCACCTGGAAGAGATAGAGGGTGAGGGGTGGGGCGATACTCTCTTCTCACTCCTGGATCCTCTTGTCTGGTGTGCAGATCCTGCTCTCCACTCAGGAGCCAGAACAAATGAGATGACAAAGTCCTACCCCCAGGGGCCACAATCCCCCAAATCCCCAGGCTCCCAGGCAATCAAAAGTCCAGGCCCTGAGGTCCCAAGAATCTTGTCACCAGCCCCTTCCTCTCTCAGGCCCTCAGTCTAGGCCTCCAGCTCCTCACACATCAAACTTTCTCATTGCCTAGGAGTCGCTGATTCCTATCTCACCCTTCAGTAAGTTTTCAGAGGCTGTAAATTGAACAGAAGGACACTGCCCATCTTTCTCTCATGGAGCAGCTGATGGATTCGAACCACCCACCTCCCCGTCCCCTATATCAGGCCCCAGGAGCTCCAGCTCCTGCAGGACCCTGCTTACCTGCCCCATCTCCTCTTCCTCCAGATCACTGCTGTCCTCTGAGTCCTTGCTGGCCATGGACCTGGCCCCCGCAGGCATATCTGGGAATTGGTGGACACTCACTGGCTCTCGGCCCTTGATCTCACGGCGGCAGAAGGGGCACGTCTGGCTGTCTGAGTCCTGGGGGAGAGGGGCAAGGGGAGGGTCAGGGACTCCTCTCCCTCTACTCTGTCCCTCGAGGGTGAAGGAGAACAGACAGGACAGGCAGAAAATGAGAGAGAGAGAGCGAGCGAATGAGAGAAAATGTCTGTGTGTGTGTGAGAAAGAGAGAGACAGAGACAGGATGAGATAGAATAGGAGGGAGAGAACACCTAATGAGGTTGAGGTTAGGAAAGGGACACAGACACACCCTGTGGGGACAGTGGCCATAGATCCTGTTTCCAGGCGCCTCTCTGGGTCAGCCAGGCCTTTGTTCAGCAATTACCTGGCTCCAGCCCCCAACTCCAACCCTTGGGAGGTTCGTGCCACTAGACCCCCTCTCTGAAGGAGGAGGTTCAGGCTCAGAGATGTGCAGACACTGGCCTGGATCCCCCAGCAAAGAAGCCCTCTCCACTGTTCACATAGCTTCAGGAGAGACAGGACAGATAGAGAGCAAGATGCAGACAGAGGCATGGACGGGGCCTGCTCCTGCTCCTGCTCTCTGGGCCTCAGTTTCCTCAACTGTTCAAGGAGGCTGTTGGGTGCGGGCTGGGTGCCTGGGAAGTGCTAGTTGGAAATTTGGTTGAACACACACAACCAGAAGCACAGAGAAAGAAAGGTCTGAAGATCTGCTTCAGAACAGTCACAGCCTGGAAAACCGTGGAGCAGTTCTGCTCTGCACACATGGGGTTGGACAGGAGTTAGAATTCACTGGATATGGACCAGTGACAACAAATGGGGCACCTCCCCTTTTCTACCCCATGATCCTGAGAGACATGAAAGACAGGCTGAGGGCGGGGCATGCAGATGAGGGCGTGATGCGGAGCCAAGGGCGTGGTCTCTGGGATGGGCGTGGTCTGATGGATGGGCGTGGTTGTACGGAAGAGGCGTGGCTTGGCGCAATCATGAGCGTGGCTAAGGCGTGGGCGGGGCTGTGGGCGGGGGCGGACCCACCTGCCAGGCAGCCAGACAGCGGCTGCAGAGCAAGTGGCCACAGGGCTCGATCTTCACGTCCTTGTCGCTCTCAGCGCAGATCTTGCAGAGCTGGAACGTAGAATCCATGGCCCAGTAGAGCTGCAGCTGCTCCTGGTGGACAAGAAGAAGCGGAGGAGAAAGGTGGGTGCCGGGCTCCAAGATGCAACTCTCTCCAAGGAAGCGAGCTTCCGGCCTCTCTGCTCAGCGCAGACCCTGTCCCAGATTCAAGTTCTCATATCCAACTGCCTTCCACATTGATGTCTTAAAAAAATGCGTTGGCAGCTTTCAAAAAACCCCTCTTTATTGCCATCAAGTCAGAAGTGACTAAGAGCTGACCCTCCAGCGAGGTTCCGAGGCTGTAAACGGCATAGGAGGAGATTGCCAATTTTTCTCCACTGGAGCTGTGGGTGGATTCGAACTGCCAGACGTTACCACCTTTGGGTTAGCAGCACAACTCCCTATGAACTAGGCCACCAGCGTCAGGTACAGTAAACAAAAATACGCTGTTGTTTTGTACCTTCGTCGGAACCAACCCATAGCTGACCCTCCGATGGGTTTTCAGAGGCAGTTAATCACACGGGAGAAGATGTCCCATCCTTCACCCGCTGAGCAGCTGGTAGATTCGAACTGCATGCTTTTGGGATTGCACCGCAGCTTCTTACCACTAAGCCACCAGAGCTGCCTTACAATAATAGGATATACCCTGTTAGATTTTCGTTTCAGATCAGCAAGGACTAATACATATTTTTCCATAAGTATGTCCCAAATTGGGAACTCTGGTAGCCTAGTCTGTAGGGAGTCGTGCTGTTAATCCAAAAGTGGTGAACGCCAACAGTTCAAATCCACCAGCAGCTTGGAAGGAGCAGGGTGGGCAATTTCAAGACCGAGTGGACATCAGCTATGAGTCAGTTCTGCCTAGACAGCATTGAGTGTGTTTGCGTTTATGTCCCAAATAAGGTCCCTGGGTGGCACAGGTTGTTTGTGGACCTGCTGCTAATCTGGAGGCTGGTGGTTTGAACTCGCCCTGGTGCTATGGAAGAAATACTTGGCAATCAGCTCCTGCAAAGAATTAAAAAAAAAAAAAGAACAACAAAAAAACCCCAACCCAGTGCCATCAACAAACAAATGGATTGAGAAGCTGTGGTTCATTCACACAATGGAATACTATGCTGAACTGAAAAACAAGGAACTCACGAAATATTATACAAAATGATTTGATGACCCTGGAGACATTATGCTGAGTGAAATATCTCAGTCACAAAAATGCAAATATAGCATAATGCCACTGATATAAAATAGGACTGACATGGGGGCTGGGGGGAAACTAAGAAAAGAGGGGATAAATAACCTACACAGTATTGAAACAGATGACGGAGAGAACTGTATAGAAAGGAATATATGATTAGGTATTATTGGCATGACAAGAGTCCAGAATCAGAGTGGTCTGGAGGGGAGACACTGTATAACAATGAAAAAACTTTTTCCCCCCAAAGAAAAAAGTGATCTGGGGAGGACGGGGGCAGAGATGAAAATGTGCAACAATGAACGACTGGAAACCCAAGTTCTTTATAAACTTTCATTAAAATCTCAATTTAAAAAAACCAAACCAACCCAGAAAACCACTACTCACAAGCATCACATTGATTCCAACACCTTACAACTCTCTGTTGGGATTCTGAGGCTGTAAATCTTTACAACAGCTGACGGCTTCAGTTTACTCCCTCAGAGCCGCTGATAGATTTGAACTGCCAACCTTCTGGTCAGCAACTCAACACATAATACATTTTGCCACCTTGACACCTTTTCTAAACAATGCAACCAAGAAAGCCCTATGGAGCAGGTCTCCTCTTTGACCAGTGGCAACAGGTTTGCTTTCTCATTGGTTTCTGTCCTGACTACTGCATGGTACAGCAAGCTCTGGTGCCCTCACGGTAAGGAGTGGCCCTGCCAACCCAAAGGCAAGTGGTTCAAATCCACCAGCAGCCTGGAGGAGAAAGACGGGAAATCTCCTTCCAATCTCCTTCCGTGTGACTGACTTACTGGCCCTGAAAAGCCACTAGAGGAGTCAGCTCTGAGTCAGCTCTAATTCGATGGCACGCAACAGCAACACTGCTTGGTACGTGCTGTTAATCAGTGGTATAGAAGGTGTGCGTGAGTATTTACAAGTGCGTCAATAATGTGCTCGAGTCAGCTGTGACTCATGACGTCCCGTGTGCACAGGGTGGAAGTGCTTTGGCACCGTTTGTATGGGGGGTGGCTGTGAGATGTGGTTCACGCGATGGCACCTCACAGCACTGCATTTCTAGACGTGTGCCCAGAGCCCTGGCGGTGCAGTGGTTAAGCATTTGGCCACTAAGCAGATGGTCAGTGGTTTGAGTCCACCGGCCGTTCCGAAGGGAAATGATGAGGCCGTCTGGTCCTCTAACATTTACAGTCTGGAAAACCCAATGGAGACTCACTGAGAGTCGGAACTGAGTGGACAGCAGTGGGCTGCGTTTGTTTTGGGGGAAAATGCCAGCAGAGGCCCCTTGTCCCCGAGAAAGAGGCAGGAGGAGCAGGAAGAGGCAGGAGGGCTTCTTTCTAGAAGAAGAGCTGAGGGTCAGAGAGGTCACAGAGCCGCCTAACCTGCACTGGAGGCCTTGGGAGCCCAGGCCTGAGTGGGGGTGGGGGTTTGTGAGAGTGGAGGGTGGGTGGGTTGGGGCCCAGCGGCCTCACCTCAGACACGTGGATGTGCTGGTGGGGTTCCATCTGGCACAGCTCTGTCAGGTCTGGGTTGTGCTTCTTCCCGTCTGGGTAGAGGTAGCTGCAGAGGAGAGATGGGTGAGGGGTGCTGAGGGCCAGACGGACAGCCACCGGGGGTCCTGTATCTCCCTGGAATCAGATCTGCCCTAAACTTGTTACTGGCCTGGGAATGGCTTCCCTCCTCTGTCCTCAGAAAGGGCCTCATCCTCTCACGTGACCACCCCCAGGACACAGGCCTGTCTCCTCAGAGCCTCTGAGCAGGGCCTCATCTCTTCACCCTCACACCCCTTCCCCAGGGCATGGAGTGTTCCCCTCAGGTATGCACGCAGGATAGGACCTAGTCACGTCAGACCCCATGTGGGACCATGTTTCCTCAGACCCTGGGGTCCCCTCGGCCCTGAGACCACAGGACACAGTCTTGTCTCCTCGGATCTCATAGTAGTGGGGGACCTCATGCCCCTCAGACCCCAGGGCAGGGCTGGGCTCTGAGAGACCAGAATGAAGCAGGAGAGGAAACATCTCAGGTCACTGCTCCAGGAGCTGCCCCTTCAAAGATCCTGGGGTTCAAAGCAGATGTCCCTGTGGGTCACCCGGTGTGGGAGTGATCAATCTCTGCTTCTCAGCCATAGGCGCTGATGGGCCCTCTGAGAGTGTGCCTCTTCAGACTCCCCCCCCCCCCCACACACACGATTTACAGACACGCACCCAGGGCCCCCTGTGGGAGAGGTGCTGGGCCAAGGCAGCCGAGAAGATTCCAGACCCTCAGGGCCTCCCATCTGAGCTAGAACCTTTTCCTCAGACCAACAGAGGGGCCTTGAGGGCTCAGAGGTCAGGGTTCTAAAGTGGTTCTCCCACAAACACATCTTGTGACTGGGGCCTCTAATTCACCTTCTGTGAAATGGATGGTTACAGAACGAACACTGGTGGCATGAAGAGTTAAGAACTCAGATACTAACGGAAAGGTTGGGGGTTCTGACTCACCCCACAGCAGCAAGGGAGAAAGGCCTGTAATCTGCTTCTGTATGACTTATTGTTTACCGTGAATGGGAACCAGTTGACCATCCAGCAGGTTTTCAGAGGCAGTAAGTTAACTGTTTGAATGGGACCGCTGGTGGCCTAGCGGTAAGAAGCTGCACTGCAATCCTGAAGGCACGCTGTTCGTATCCACCTGCAGGAGAAAGATGGGCACCCTCTTCCTGTGTGATTTACCCGCTGGAGGGTGAGCTATGGGTCTGTTCTGACTTGCCAGTTCACAACAAACAACAAAACTGTGTGGAAGTAGATTGTCCACCTTTGTCCCTCGGAGCAAGCTGGTGGATTCAAACCTCGTGCCTTTGGGTTGGCAGCCCAACTCCTTGCCACTAAGCCACCAAGAAAACCTTGTGTTCTGTTCCACGGGGTCGCTATCAGTTGACATCAAGGGCACTCAACAACAGGGCAAAGGGCGGTGTCGCGGTTAGCGGGGTGCTGTGGGGCGGGCTCCCGTTCACAGCGAGCCTGTGGACAGTGGGAGGGAACCTGCCCCCATCCTGCCCGCTCCCACAGTCCCCACCACGCTGAGGCCCACTGCAGTCACTGTACCAGTCCGTCTCATTAAGGGTCCTCCTCTCTCTCGCTGGTCCCCCACCTTTCCCAGCATGATGTCTTTTTCCAAGGGCTGGCGCCCAGGAACAACATGTTCAAAGTTCGTGAGATGAAGTTTCACCGTCCTCGCCTCCAAGCAGAGCTCTGGGTCCACTTCCTCCAGGATGGGTTTGTCCCTCTGGCAGCCCATGGGGTATATGTACTTCCTCATTCACTGTGCAGCTTTCCCAGCGTATGAAGCAGTATGGAAGCCACCCCACTGCTCTGGAGGAGAAAGCCGCGGTTGTCAGCTTTGTTAAAAAGATAGTAGCGTGACATCAACTCCATAGCGACCCCACAGGACAGAGCAGAACTGTCCCTGACCGTCTCCCGGGCTGTAAATCTTTATGCAAGCGGAGAGCTTCATCTTTCTCCCTTGGAGTGGATGCTGGGTTCAAACCGCTGACCTTCTCCTTAGCAGTCATTGTTCTTAGGTGCCATCCAATTAGTTCCCACTCACAGTGATCGTACGTAGGACAAAACCACAACATCGCCTGGTCCTTGGCCACCCTCACAATCTCTTCTCCACTCAAGCCCACTGACGCAGTCCATTTCCTTGAGGGATCGTTAGCAGCAAGGCTCCATAAATAGACTGATTGTTTTGTTTATATATCATTGAGTCGGAAGCAACCCACAGCTGGTCCATTAGCGGGGTTTTCAGAGGCAGGAAGGAAGTCACAGGGCCATCTTTCTCCCATGAAGCAGTCGGTGGATTTGAACCGTGTACCTTTGAGTTGGAAGCCCAACTCCTTACCACTAAGCTACCAGAGCTCCCATAAGAGATTGTGGCTTTGGAAATCCTATGAGGCCTGTGTACTGTGTATGACAGGGGTTCTGAGAGTCAGAATCGACTTGATGGCAGTGGGTTTGGTTCTGGGTTTTGATAACCTGACCAGCGCACAATGTCTGCTCAAAACAGCTATGATCGAATGGGAACCCAAGAGCTGCCTTACTCTGTGGTGGAAAGAGCCCTTTCCCCCTCTCTTCAGGCCTCGGTTTTCCCATCTGTAAAATGATACTGTGTTGGAAATCCAAAGTTTCTGTAAATTTTTACTGAAATTAATAACAAATTTAAGTTAAAAAGAATGATACTGTGTGTGTGTGCATGTATGTGTAGATAGGGACAATGGAGTTGGAACAGATAATTGGGGTTCACGCTGCCTTTAACTCGGGACCTTCTCCTTCAACAATTTTTTCCCCTTCTTTTTTTTTAATTTTTATTTCATTATTTTTGTGTAAGTATACCGTCAAATCAGATCTGACTGGTACAGGAGGAGATTGTCCCTCCTTCCCCGGCAGAGCATCTGGTGGATTCGAACCGTGCGCCTCTGGGATTGTAGTTGCAGCTCCTTACCACTAGGCCACCAGAGCTCCCCTTTTTTCCCCTTCTTCAGGGTTTTGAGTGAAATTTTGCAAAGCAGCCTGGTTTTCCATTCAATCATTCACTCACATTTTCCTTACATGAACTCTGACCTGGAACTCGGGACAGAGCAGTGGTCCAAGGGCCGGGACTCGGAGTGTGTCTGCCTGGCTCAGATGGCAGCTCGACAGTTCAGCAGCTGTGTAACCAGGGACAAGCGACTTGCTTCTCTGTGCCTCAGTTTCCTCAGCTGCCAGATGAGGATATAATAGAGGTGTGCGTGTCTGTGTGTGTGTGTGTACGTGTGTACACAGATGTTGATAACAGACCAGACTCTGGTTAAAGTTCCCGGGTGGGGCTCTGAAAGCTTTTTTCCTCCCTCCTTCCTTAAGGCAGCTGACATTCTGCACTGGAATGCACCACCCGGCTAGTTCTCCCAAGGGACACTGGTGGCTCAGTGGTAGAATTCTTGCCTTCCATGTGGGAGACCTGGGTTCGATTCCCACATGTGCAGCCACTACCCATCCGTCAGCAGAGGATTTTGTGCTGAACACATTTCAGTGACAAGACTTCAGATGCACGAGGAGGAGAGACCTGGCAGGCTACTGCTGAAAAATCGGTCAGTTCAAACTCCTTTGCCATGAGACCAGAAAAACTGGATGGTGCCCAGCTACCATTATTGTATGTTTTTATCAAAGATGCTATAGAAAACGTGGAACACAATTCCAAAGTGGATGGAATCTTGACTTTTCTGGGGGAAACCAGAAACTCCAAAACTCTTGCCTTGGCATGCTCTTTAATTAAAATAATGTTTCCTCCAGTCCTTTCAAAATCAAGCAATAGTTAGGTTTAACTAGTAAGAAAATGTCTGTCCTGAACGTTATTCTCTTTAAAAGCTATTTGTATGGTATTGGCCTGCTAGAGCCAATGACAGGGCTGGGGAACTTCCAGGACTATGACTCTTTTACCCTTTGAGCCTGGAACTGAACTTGCCCCTGAACTTGCCCTTGTGACTCAACTTTCAGTCAGGCAGTAGTGAGGCTTATAAGGTCATCAGTAGCATCAGGGAAGGACTCAGTCCTTCGAACATGCAATCATACTGGATCAAATGGGCAGCATTTGTCCAGGGAGGAAGCTCAAATGGCAATAAGAATGAGGAGAGAAGGATGAGTGGAAAGGAGAATCACAGGGTGGGAGTGGGAAGTGTGTGGTTCCATTGTGGGGATGGTAATCGAAAGTCACAAAGCAAAACGTTTGCGAATGATTGAATGGAAAACCAATCTGCTTGGTAAACTTTCACTCAAATCACAGTGAAAGTTTGGTTTTTTTTACTTTACAAAAGAACTGTCTATATGGGATCAAATTGACAACAGCAACGTGAAAGGTTAGACGGGAACTTTAGGAGACCGCTTGTGTCAAGAGGGAGGGTGGAGAAGGGTGAATGTTGTCATGGAATTGTACCTGTGGAAATTACGGGCGTGTGTTCTGCTGCATCTTTTCTCAACAACACCACAGAACACAATTCTTCTGAAAAACTATGGATCACGTGGGTCCACTCCATAACGAACCGTAAACATGGGATGAGGCTAGGCAATGTTTTGTTCCAACCTGTGAGCCCTTAACAGCCTAGATTCTAGAACCCTATATGAAGATCTAAACCCAAAAACTCTGGTGGCCTAGTGGCAAGAAGCTGCACTGCAATCCCAGAAGCTGCAATGCAATCCTAGAGGCATGAGGTTCGAATCCACCGGATGCTCTGCTGGAGAAGGCGGGACAATCTCCGCTTGTGCCATTCAGATCTGATTTGATGGTACACGCACACAAAATAGTAAAATAAAAAAATTTTAAAAACCAACATGCTGAATGCAGTACCAAGAAATGAAGCCACGGGATTGTGCCCACCACGGCCACATGCCTCTGAGAGCTGGGCTGAGCCCACAGGGCAGCTTCATGAAGCTTCATGAAACCTAGACAAAGGTGCCACTTCCTCAAGACCCTGGACTGCCACCTGCCGGGACACTGTGGCATTACAAGTGTATGCAGTCACTATGTGAAGGTGTGAACCTCTTCAGAATTTCGAGCAGTGTCTAACACTCACAGCCTTCCTCAGTGGGTTCCGCTGGCCCCTTCCCCTTGCAGGGATGAGAACTCACACGCCTTTTTTCTGTCCTTCCAGGAGCACCTGGAACAGGGGTTTGTTGGGAGGGATGGTCTGCAGGATGCTGCCGTCTGAGCTCACGTATCCGATGGCCCACTGTCCCACACGAGTGCAGCTAGGGCGGAAAATGTAGCTGGAAGAGAAGGTAGGTGTGATGGGGTGAGGCAGTGGTCACCCCTGTCCCTTCAGGGACCTCCCAGCCCTCCCACCCAGCTGGAGATCCAACTCTTCCTTTTCTATCACCATCTTGGGTTTGGAAGAAGATGAGCAGTTTCCTCCCATAAAAATGTATAACCACAGGAAGTCAATGGAGAATCGCTGAGTCAGAATCAACACATCAGTAGTGGGATTTCCAATAACAGCACCCACGTTTCCACAGGGGTATCTCCCTCTCTGTTACTGGGAGCTGATCCCGGCATGGCCACCTTGATATGAATTTGCCCTGAGAATTCTGCTGGGAGTGTCAGGAGTAAGGTTGCTACAAGAGAGAGTAGGGTGCACAACTGGGCCTTCCAGAAGCCCTTGTTGCTTCCTGGAGGAGAGACTCTAGGAGTGAACTCAAGGGAAAACAAAGATGGAAAGTGAAGGGGAACTGATTCTTAGCACCTGGATCCAGCTATGCCTGAAACCCAGACACATAATTTTGATTATGGAAATTTGTTACTTTCCCCCCTCCTGATACCAGTTTCTACATAACTGTAAGAGTGCTAATGTATTTACCTGCCTGTAGATCTCTCTGTCCTGCGCGAAACTTCTGAACCTGATTACCTATTTCCTTCACCTCTTGGTGCTCCACACACTGCATCCTCTCAATTCTTAACCCTTAGGGGACCCAACAGTTTAAGACTCTCTGTTTGAAACACTCAGGTGTCTGGTTTCAATTTCCTGCCACAGCAGGTAGGTGTCAGGTCAAAAATACTGAACAGATGGTGTGGCTTGGGCTGCACCTATAAGTGTCATCTGAAATAAATGTGACCTCAGGGACACTCCAGTTGCTGGAGTGTGGGAGGGAAGGGCGTGGGTGTTACAGGAGCACTCAGCGTTTTGCCTCCAAATCCTCGATCCGCTGGGGTCCTGGAGACTCAGCCTTCCTCCTTCTCCCCGAGGATGTCTGGGCTCTCAGCACCCACCACCTCGGGACTCTGACCCCTGAACCCTGCGGCCCCACCCCCAGGGCCAGGACCTTGTACCTGCCAGGCTTGTCTCTGCAGGCTTGCAAGCGCTCTCGGACCTCGTCATATGTAAGGAAGGCCATGTAGCCGGGATGGTTGACAGCCAGCAGCTCCCAGTTCTTGAGGAGGGTGGGCCATGGCTGTGGTGGGGCAGGGAGTGTGGTCAGGGAAGTAGTCCATACCACAGGGCCACCAGACCCCTGACTCCAGCCAGCCTGTTCCCCTCCCAGGAAAGGCTCAGGGGGTTCCTTCTATTGAGACTCCAGCCTAGTTTCTCTAGGAGCCCCAGCTTCCAGACTCAAGAGTCTAGCCTTCAGCTCCCTCCTCTCTCAGACTCAGGAGTCCGGGTCCCCAGTCTCCTCCCTCAGACCCTGAGATTCAAACCACCAGACCCCTCCTCCTTCAGATCCAGGAGTTCAGGCCCCAAGCCTCCTCCCTCAGGCCCTGAAATTCAAGCCACCAGACCCCTCCTCCCTGGGAACCAGGAGTCTAGACCCGCAGTCCTGTCCTCCCCCAGACCAAGGAGTCTGGCCTTGACCTGCTCTGACCTGGAAAAGCCTGGTGAAGATGTCAAACTCGAAGATGGACACGTGGCTGCTGCATGTGAGGTCGATGGTGGAGCGCAAGGCCATGGCGGTGGAGCCTGACTCCAGGGGGTGGCAGGTGCGCAAGAGGGACTCGAACTCGGTCCAGGGCAGCACGCATCTGGAGAGAGGACGGAGATGAGGTTTCTCGGGGTCTACAACAAGATTTGGAAGGAGTGGACTGGGGCCTGGAATCCTAGATCTGAGACAGGAGGGTCCTGGGGTCCTGGAACCCTGGGTCCGAGGGAGGAGGAGGATGGGGGCTTCAGGGTCTGAGGGAGGAGAGGGTTGGGGGCCTGGACTCCCAAGTCTGAAGGAGGAGGGACCTGAGTGCCTGGAACCCTGTGTCAGCGATGGGGGCTCCAGGGGCGGAAGGCTCCCTTACCGCTGGCCACAGCACTTCCTCCAGAAGGTGTGGGCCTGCGCCTTGGTGAGCTGATACAGATGTCCACAGTACTGTCCTCCAGGGAAGAGCGCGCTGAGCTCCTGGTGCATGTGGCTGAAGATGAGGGCCAGCTTGGCCAGCTGCCGCCTGCAGAGAAGCACTCTAATGGCCTGGGCGGAACTTTGGGGTTCCCACCAACTTCCCACAATCCTTGTGGTGTACCCCACAAGGATTCTCTAACAGTCATCTCAACTCATTGTAATGCAGTTGGACTCCTAGCTGGCCCTCCAGCAGGTTTTCAGAGGCTGTAAATCACTGAGACGGCTCATTTTTCTCCTGAGGAGCACCTGCTGGATTTGAACCACCTGAAAGTGTCTGCTTTGGGTTAGCAGCACAACTCTCTACCCAGTAGGCCACCAGAGCATCTCTGAATAAAAGTCTATTCCCAACAGGCTGTTCCAGTCCTGCCTGCCCCCTTCCTTCCACGTGTAGGTTCAGAATCAAGGATGCACAATAACAACAACAACTCTGAAAAAAGCTGCCCAACAGCCAAGTGGCCTTTGTAGGTCTCAGAGCCAGCCCCTGGCTCACCGTTGACCCCTACTGTTACAGAGTAAAACTGCTCCATATGGTATTCTTGGCTGTAGTTTGCTGGGAAGCCAGAGCACCAGGTCTTTCTTCCGCACCACCTATTATTTTTGTGACACCTAGGACCCTGTCACTCCGTAGCCCCTTCCTCAGAGTTCAGTGGCTTCTCAGCGTGGACAGACAAACGCTACGTCCTGAGCTAGTTGTTCTTCAAGAACTGGAGACCACAACCTGAGAAGGGACAGCTGGTGCCTATGTTCTCCAAAAGGGGCAAGTCCTGGGGTCTCTGGTCCTTGAGGGTCCTAGAGAGGCAGTTTAGAAATCTAATTCCCCCAAAGAGAAAGGTAAGGATGGGGCCAGGGATGATGCCTGTTAGTCACTCCAGGGGTGTGAATCTTCCTGTATTCCCAGAACCTGGGGTCTGAGGCCCCTGAGGGAGTGGGGCAGAGGCGGCTGGGTGATCAGGAGAGAGGGGCAGTGGGAAGCAGAGGGTCTGGATTCCCAAGGAAGGAAAATGCTGGGCGACGCCATTTGGTTCTCAGGCTTTTTCTGGGAGGAGGGGCTGTGGGTCCACAGCCGCTGGGTCTGAGGGAGAAAGCTGGGGTTTGGACTGTCAAATCTAAGGGAGGAGGCAGCTAGCTGGGAGACCCTCTGCACTCTTGTGTTTGGGGGAGGGGGTTTCTGGAAGCCGTGAGGGAGGATAGAAGACTTCTGGAAGTGTCTGAGGGATGATGGGGCTGAGTTTGAATTCCGGGGGGGGGGGAGGTGGCAGCTGGGAAGCCTTCTTCCATTCTTGGTTCTGAAGGAGAAGGGGGCTAGGGGTTCCCCACTCCTGGGCTCGAGGGAGCAGGGGGTGGAGGTTTCCACTCCTTGGCCTGAAGTAGGAGGGATGGCAGGCCCTCCTTCCATTCTTGGGTCTGGGGGAGGAGGGGTGTAGTAGTTGTGCCCCTATTCCAGGGTCTGAGGGAGCAGGGCGCTGAGGCTGTGGTCCAGGCCTCTTTCCGGATCCCACCTTCGGCCCTGAGCCGCTCACCTGAGTCTGGAGCCCTCCCGGAAGAGCTCGTCGTTGGCTCCAGTTCGGCCCCGGGAAGGCAGCAGTGTGGCCACCTGCCTGCCCTTGGCTTCCAGGTTTGCAAGGTAGACGGCCAGGAAGTCCCAGGCGCCCCCGGGACCCTCGGGGCCCCCGCCGCCCGGCACCCTTCGGGCCAGGGCCACCTTGCGCAACAGCTCGGCTGTACGGGGCAGCAGGTCGCGCAGAGAGGGGGGACTCGAGGCGAGCCGGGGGTCCCCGCACTGCGCCTCCAGGCGCTCCAGCAGCTTCATGGCCCGGCCGAACGCGCGGACCTCCCCCGACTGTCGCCCCCGAGGGGCCGCCGCCGCAGCCATGGGTCCCTGGGCGCCCAGAGAGGACCGGCGGGGCGGGAAGGGCGCGGCCCAGGTTGGGGCGGGACGGGGCGGGCCCCGGAGAACCGGAGCGAGGGCTCTGGGACCTGAGTCTCCCAAGGGGGCGGAGGCAGGGCTCTGACACCCGGGACCCCTAGAGGTGCCACGTGGAAGTCTGATTCCCAAAAGAGTAGAGAAGGGTCCCTGGTGGCGACAGGTGGGAGCTCCTCAGGGGCTCAGAATGACAGGCAGGGTGCGGAGGCCCTTTTGGGGAGAAGCAAAGGGCTGACGCCACGGTGATGGTGGTGGTGGGAGACAAGGCTGGGACGCTTGGGATCTCTTTTGGCAACCCTTCGCGGAGGTGGAGCTGGCACTGATAGCCTCTTGGTCGCTGCTAGGATTAAAGGTCACAGAGCTGGAGGCTCTAGGCGGAAAGTTCAGTGAAGGTGCCTATAAGAAGGTACAGCGTGGTCAGATCCCTGCGTCCCTAAGGCGCACGAGGGAGGGGCAGGAATTTGGAGACGAGAATCTTGGGTCTGCAATAAATCACTCTGGCAGTGAAACACTCTGCAAAGGAGGCGGACTCCCGGGCGCAGAAGGCGAGAGGCTGAAGGCCTGTTCAGGAATGCGGGGGCCTGGGCTGGACGTGTGCGTGCAGGGCTGGAGCAGGCGGGGCCTCCCGACCGGCCCAACCTGTAGCAGCATCTGTGCAGCCTGGACTGCGCTCTGGGCCGCCGCCAGGGGGCGCAGTGGTTCGGGACACCCGGAGCTGGCAGACCACGCCCCCGAACAGGGCCACGCCCCGTGAGCCCAAGCCACGCCCCCACGAGGCCTCGCCAAGCTTTGAGCAACGCAAACTTTAATACACTCAAAGTTAAAGAATGTCCCCGTGGCCCAGCCTCAAGGAAGTTGTTCACTTTAAAAGTCGCACATCTCTGGTGGTTTAGACTCTCTAGCATCTCAGTGGCAGAATGATGGACCTTCACCCTTTAGCACTTAAGGTCTCTGACAGCTAATGAGGTCACAAAGGTAACGTTTCTCAGGCAGTTCGAATCCACCAGTGGCAGAGAGAGAGGGAGAGGGAGAGGGAGAGAGGAAGAGAGGGAGAGAGGGGGAGAGAGGGAGAGAGAGAAAGAGATATGCTCAATCTCCTCCCAAGCAATTTATAGCCTCCAAAACCCTGCTGGAAGATCAGCTATGAGTCAGTCCCAGATCTACCACAATGAGAATGAGCACATGACAGAATATTTTTTACAGTTAACTAGTATCTATTCATATAGTTCTGATGGCCTAGTGGTAGGTAGGATGTTGCTCTGCAATCTCAAAGGTTCAACTCCACCAGCTGCTCTGTGGGAGAAAGATGGGCAGTCTCCTCCCTTGAGATTTACTGCCTCTGAAAACCCGCTGGAGGGTCAGCTGTGGGTTAGTTCCAGCTCCCTGGCACACAACAACAACAACAGATGTAGTCTCTCAGCCAGACCCTTTGTGTCAGACTTTACAGACATTATTTTTTCCTCTGAATCAACAAAATGCTTTGAGATAGGATTCGACAGAACGAGAGCTGTGGGGTAGGTCTTCCGCAGCGCCCCTTGCCTCCCCTTAGCCTCTCCTCTCCTCTAAAACAATTTGAAAACCCCTCTACGTTATCATGGATTCCCACTCATGGTGACCCCAAGTGTGTTAGGGTAGAATCAGCTTCATGGGCTTCCAAGGGATGTAATTTTAGCCCAAGAGGACCAGGTTAAGCCCTCAACTTCTGACTAAAAGATGGGCTTTTGGAACTCATCAGCTGCTCCACAGGAAAGGAGGTGGCAATCAGTCTGCCTGGGTAAAGATGGAAAACCAAAAAGGTGGGTGGTTCTACTCTTGTCCTATGGTTTAGAATCTCCCAATAACACACAACCTCCCAGAAGAGGAGCCTTGATGATGCATGTGGTAAAGCACTGGATTACCAGTGGTTCAAACCCATCCAGAAGCATCTTGGAAGAAAATCCTGGCAATTTGCTTCCAGAAGGTTTGCAAGTGGACTCTGCATGCTAGGGACAACAACAACAACAATGATTTTGCCTTTCTCCTGCTGCGTGGATTTCAACTGGGTGCTGGCCCAGAAAACCCCCTCCATCTCTTAGATCCCGAGAATCCCAGATTTTTGTGGAATCCTTGACAGACAGACTGACATTAAATTCCAGCTGCCTGCGTTCCTGCTTTTCCTCAGCCCCACTTTCGTTCCCCTGAAGATAGGACAAAACGCCATCATCCTGGCAATAATTGCAATTTCTGTCGATGCCAAAAGTTGGTGAGCAGCTGGTAGGAGTGAAACTGGCCAAACGACTTTTCGGAGGAACTGGGCAGCTTCCATGAATCTCCGGGAGGACGAGTCCGTTGCCAGAGCCCTATAACCACTGAGCAGAATGAACGCAATGCTGTTCGATGGGACGTGATAGCTGAGTCTCTGTCGGATTTCCAAGGCACCGGAGAAGATTGCCCACCCTTCTCCCCTGGAGCCGTTGGTGGATTTGAATGGCCAGAGAGATGCAGTTGCTGAGTTAGCAGCCCCGTTCCCAGTGGGTCACGCCATCAGAGCTCCCTCTGAGTATGATCGTGAAGGGTTAATATATTGGGCAAAAGGTAATTTTTTCATTTCCAGCTTTGCTGCTTTCTAAACTGAAGCACTTGTTAAGAGCACTTTGTGTTCTGCTTGCTTCAATGATTTATTGTTAAAAGTTAACTTTGCTCTGAATCTTTACTGGCTTGCCTTAAGACAGAGTGGTGAGGATCCCTTTGTCACACACACAAGGGAAAGGGCCATCCTTCGGGGGGGACCATGAGGAGTGGCCAGTATGACTAGGAGGTGACCATCACACCATCAGAGACCACCTTGGGGAGACAAAGAGCCAATCTGCATCCTTCCCTTTGAAAAACCTCTCCATGGCTTCCCGTGTGGGGCGGCGGCGGGGGAGAGACACTTTTCAGAAGCTCACACGTCTCCTGTAACTCGTTCATGGCTGTTCAGTTAGCTCCTAGAACCGCCCCATACCTGATGCTCCAGTCTGTCCTCCGAGGCTGTAAATCACACAGGGGGTGATGGCTCAGTCTTCTCTGGTCAAGCAGCTCATAGGTCCAAACCAGCAGAGAGGCGTGGCTTGTGGGGTAGAGCTCCCCCATCTCTATCACTCATGCTGCCCAGTCAGACCGTCTCATAGCTGATCCTCCTGTTACAGAACACAGGGGGTTCTTTCCGTAGTCAATCGCCAATAAGACAAATGGATTGCAATATCCATAAATGCACTTTATTACACAGATCTGGGAGACAGTGAGTCACCTCCAAGACTGTCTCCCCATCTGGGAGTGGTCATGGGCTTTTATAGGATGGTGAGACATCAACTTACTTAACAACAGATTTTTGTTAGTAAAATTAAATAATTTCTGTATCTGAAAGAAAATCATTCATACTCAGATACTCCCTTTCCAGGCAAACAGGCAGATTAAGTTACAATTTACATATGATTGGGAAAAACAGCTTCAAAGAGGTAACAGCTAGTCTAGGAGATGCATCTCCTCTTCTGATTAACAGACAGATCACAGAAAGGACACTAAGAACTCCAAGGTCAAGCAACCAGTCCCGCAGGCTGGAGAAAACTATAGTTTTATAATTGATATCTATATAGAGAATTCTGAACTCATGAATATGCCCCTGGAGAGGAAGGTGCGCCTGATACAGGCCATGGTCTATTGCAATCACTTGTTATGCATCAGAGAGTTGGACAATGACTAGGGAGGACAGAAGGAGAATTGATGCCTTTGAGCTGTGGTGCTGGAGAAGAGTACTGAATGTACCATGGACTGCCAAGAAAACAGATTTATCCTAGAAAGGGTTAAACCAAGCTACTCCTTGGAGGCAAGGATTCTGGGGCTTCATCTGACATACTTTGGGCATGTTGCAAGGAGGGACAGGTCCTTGGAGAGGGACATCATGCTTGGGAGGGGGGAGGGACAGCGTAAGAGGGGAAGACCCTCTATGAGGTGGATTGATTCAGTGACTGGGGTAATCGGGATGGGTGTGTCAGAGGCAGTGCGATTGGCACAGGATAGAGCAGGGTTTAGGGTTGTTGTACATAGGGTCGCTATGAGTCGCAAACGACTTGACGGCACATAACAACAACAACAACAACATCATTCTCCCCTCTTTTTATATGTCTTATAGCTATAAGACAAACATACCACCCCATCATTCCTGCTGGCTTTGGGGAGCTGTAGAGCACATGGAAGAAACTACCTGTCTTTCTTCTGGGGGTTATTTATTGGTGGATTGCAAACAGTCACCTTTGGGGTGACAGTACAACCTTCAAGGTGCAAAGCCACCAGTTCTCCCCATCTCCTGTATGATTGTAGTTGTTGGGGGTCATTGAGTCAACTGTGAATCATAGCAATGCCACAAACAACAGACATGTCCTGCAATCTCGAAGATGCTCGCTCCCAGTTACAGGCACTGCGTCAATCCACCTTGTTGAGGGTGTTCTGACCTTTCCCAGCATGATGTCTTTTACAAAGGACTGGCCCCGCCTCCACCTGATAACATACTCAATGTCTACGAGACCAAGTTGTACCATCCTCGCCTCTAAGAAGCACCCAGGCTGCACTTCCTTCAAGATCACCTTGTCTCTTCTTTTGGTTCAAGGGACCCTCAGGCCTTCCTTAATACCAGGGAGCTCTAGTGGCCTAGTGGCAAGAAGCTAGGCTGCAATTCCAAAGGCATGCAGTTAAAATCTACCAGCTGCTCTGCAGGAGGCAGAGGGGCGATTTCTTCCTGTGTAATTTATTGCCTCTGAAAACTCACTGGAGGCTCAGCTATGAGTCGGTTCTGATTCAACAACACACAGCAATAACAACGACATCATCAGTTCCACAATTCAAACATGTTGAATATTCCGTCATCCTTATTCATTGCCCAGCTTTCAGATGCATAGAAAGCAATTCTAATGACCATGGCTTGGATCAGGCAC